CAATCGATACCAAACGTGATTTTATAAAAAAAAAAAGAATCTCAAAAGTTGGGGGGGGGGGGGGCACCTGCCCCCCAGGACCCCCCCTTGGGTCCGCCCATGTCTGCAAGAACTGGGAAGCAAGAAAGGAGGTGAAGGGAGGACCCGGTTTCAAGTGTCGGAGATGATTTGCAGGGTTTTGATTTCTCACTACTTTGGCGCCTGCTGGAGGTGAAGGTGAGTGCGGTTGCCGGCCAGAGGGTTGGTCGGAGATGGAGGTGGGCGATTTCAAAGGCTTCAGGTCTCGGCTTTGGTGTAGGGCGATTTCGTAGGATTCACGCGTTTTCACGGTCGACGGCCATAGATGGAAAGGAGAGCGCTGGAGATGGAAAGGAGAGTTGAGGCCAGGAAGGAAAGGAATGGAGTGGAGGTGAGATAAGATGCTTCACGCGTTTTCATGGTTTTCTCCTCTATTTTTTTTCTTTTGAGATCTGCTATAGGGCTCGGCTCAATGGCCGGGCCCAAATACACGCGCCGAGGTGGCGCAATACAATTGGAGGGAGAGCTGACCGAAGTCAGCCCCTCCTCTAATTACAGGGCGCCACCTCGATGCCTGTCATTTGTCCCGGTCATTGAGCCGAGACAAATGGCTTAACTCTTTTTTTTTTCAATTGCCACATCAGTTCATTTCAAATTCCTGTTAAAAGCCTGTGAACCATATCCTGTACTTGTAGCATAATCCTAATGGATACAAAGGTGAGGTCGGCTGCACAGTGAGGGACATGTTAGGCTCCTGTGAAATGAGCCCCTGTACTTGGGGAATAATTCAAAAATATTTTATGGAATGCGAATCGGTATTATTTATGAGTAAATTATTGAAATTTAATCAAGCAAACACGTAGTATTTGTACAAGTAAATTAAAAAAGGGGAATGATACATGTATGAGGTGTTCGAAAGATACCATTTCTAAGTGCCTGTCTGGTGGCTCTTTTCTTCTAATTATAAGGAATTTTCAGACCGTTATACAGTGAATGGAGGGAAGAAGCTG